CCTATAAATAAATAAAATGTGATGTTTTATTGATAAGAAATCAATGTTTTTTTTTAAGTTTGAGCTTTTCTATAGTTTGGATCTTTATTGATCATAAAGATCGTTTGATTACATTTATGATTGGTGTGAATTAATAGACTATTCATTAATATTTCACAAGACAAGGAAATACAACATTTTACCATTAAAAAATGTTTTCAATTATTTAATATATCCCTAAAACTCGAAAACTTTTGAACGTAAGTATTATAAGTGGAATGCTAATTTGTGCATTATTCAAGAGCAACACAGATTTGATAACCCTATATTTGTTATTTCAGTAGTTATACAATTTTAAGCAGTGTTCAATTTTTTTACTTTCTAAAGACTATAATTGGGCCAAAGTGTTTGGAAGCTAGAATGGGTTGCTGTAATTTATTTGTTACCTCAACTTATTACTTACATTATATTACACAATTAAACTCTAACTAGTCTGTAACTCAATAGTTTAGTGAACATAAATCGAATGTATGCAACAGCTTAAGGGAGAACAGTTTACTCACACCCGCAAGGAAGGGATTAAGAGATTAGGTCAGGAATGAAAGAGTACAGTCAAGACAAGCATTTTGCACGACGCACTCGCTGGCGTCCCAGGCACGGGGGAGCAGCTTACCTACGCCCGCGGATACGCGCTGTCTTTGCCGACGCCCACACTACATCAGTTTGTTCAGATGACTAACCAAATATATATTTATAAACCTTAAGAAACATACTAAAATTTTGATTCTGACACATTTTGCGTATTTTATTTTGTAAAAATATATAGAGGGTAAAACAAAATTGTGTACTCTAAAATATTTTTTTTTGTCCTAGGACGCTAGGCACGAGCCTGGGATTGTTTTTCACATTACTTCAGGCTAGACCTAGGGGTTGCGGCATTATCACTTAGATAAATCCATTGGTGACTTGGCGGGGATCGAACCCGGGACCTCAGGGACTGAAGTCCCGCGCTCTAACCACTACGCCAGCTCGCTCCCCACTCTCTAAACTATAAACATTATCAAAGTTAAAATGTTATATATTTCTTTGAAAATAATTTTTTGAAAATACGTTTCGTACAAACGTTGTTGATAAACTAATTATAAAAAATACAAATCAAATTTCAATACGATAGCTTGTGTAGAATTTGAACTAAATCCACTATAAAAGTTAACGTCTGCGATTTCCAAGTTTGGAGGGGGGGGGGGAGCTTAAATTGGAAAATAGGAGATTTTTCGAAAATACATGTCTTCAGTGGTTCTTTCACATATAAAAAATCCAGCTTTCCACTATTTAGCTACGAAAAAAGCAGTTTGCGCGTTTATTGACTGGGCCAGATGCGAAAACGCAGCGAAGCAAGGTGTTAAACTAGCGTGCATGCGCTCACTTCGCTGACGACCAGCTCTTCACCAGTTCACCTAGATGAATAACCAATAATATGTTTGTAAACCTTGAAAGACGTACTAAAACTTTTGTTTGAACCATATTTGCATATTATTTCTATTTAAAAAAATATATAGAGGAAATCAAAATTTTGTACTCTGAAACGAAGCTTTTAACAAAATTCAAATTTTATATCTCCCTAAGTATTGGTTTTATAAAAATGTTATAAGTACAAAATTTGTAGGAAAGCTAATCAGAAATGAAACAAAACAAATTGCTAAACAAAACACAATACCTAATAACTTTACTGAACTGGCATTTCATATCATTACCGCTAATTCTTAGTTTCAACTCTCCATCCCTACTCTGTAAATTTCTAAAATGAACCAAACTCGGCTTGCTAGTTTTTAAATGAAGGCTGTTTATAACAAACCAATGCTCTAGATCTAGTATGGTAGCTTCTGCGTTTTCCTTTATATCTAATAAATTCTTTCCTTTTACAAGTGCTGTAGTGTCATCTGCAAACATGATTACTTTTGCATTTACATTCTCTGGGAGGTCATTTGTGTATACAGGGTGGCTGAAAAGTAACTTGCACCCCCCTTCACGTTTGAACCTTTTGAGATATTTGAATACTGAGATCTTCCAAAGTTTTGTTTACTGAAATTTGCACTTCCCACATTGAGTTGCCTTTCACAAAAGCAGATGTATCATCTTCAAAAAGAATTAATTCTGAAAGAATATTTTGGGGCAAGTCATTGATTTCAATGATTTCCAAATTCATTATTTGTCGAGTGTGATTTCCTAAAACCATGCTGACTGTTTTTAATTAATCCGTTTGATTCTAAATATTCTTTGTTGGTTGTGTGTTTACCACCTATTCAATTATTTTAGAAAACACAGGCAATAGTGAGACAGAGCCATAGTTTTCAATTAAGATTCTATTTCCTTTCTTAAAAATTGGCCTTATGATTGAAGTTTTGAGGTTTGTTGGAAATTCACCAGTTTTTAATGATTGATTTATTATTTTTGTAAATGGTGCAGCTATGTACTCTTTGCAGCCCTTAATTAATCTAACTGGAATATCATCCCAACCTGTGGATCTCTTGTTCAATATTGACTTAATAATTTTTAACACAATTCATTTCAAATATCTTTATTCATTTTTATGTAATTATGTACACTGTACAATAAATTGTGTCAAAATAATTACAATAAATAGTGTCAAAATAATTCAACAGGATAAAAACAGCAAAACATGAGGAATGGTTATAAAAACAACAAATACATATTATAAATCTGGATGTGTCTTTCTCTTTTACTTCTTTAAATGTAAATTCTGTATTCTCTGGGCTGGCTACCTTACTACAGCACCCAATTGCTATATGTGGCAAACTTTGAACTTTCAGTTGTTGTTGTATTTTTAAGTAATGGATATTAAAGTAATTAGGAATAACTATGAGGTTGTTGATGGCTTTTCTGTTAATTAATATTTCTTGTATGTAATTATTATTCTTTTGTATCATTACCAACTCATTCTTTATGTTTCTTTATTTCTTATTCTTATTATTCTTACAGTTAGATCTTTTAATATAGTCATCATTTGCCTTACGCTTAGCTGCCCTTACAAATTTTCTAAATATTCATCCATACATCTTGTAGTAATTTTGCAACTAGGCACTTTTATTCATCTTTATTTCACTGTAGAGTAGTCTTGTTTTCTTACTAGAAATTCTTATACCTTCTGTTATCCATTTGTTACTTTAACATTTTGTTGCCTAAAAGGTTTTAGAGGAAACGACTCATTCATATTTAACATGAACTCTCTTAAAAAGTTATCTTAATTTTCATTTGCTGACTTGATTAACTCTACCTTCCAATCTGGTTGCTTTATTGACTCTTATAATTTGTGAATAGCCTCTGGTGTAAATCTTCTCTTTAGGCTTGTCACACACTGAGTCCGGTAAAATCGGATCAGGCATGCCGGATCAGGTAAATTCGAAAACCATTAATTTAAATGGAAGTCCCCACACTGCATCTGGACCGGTGCGTCAGGTTCAGTCCGGTAAAATTATTTCGGATGAGAAGCGATAGGCTTCAGGCAAGCTTCCGGCGCCGGAGAGCTCGCGCATGCGCAGACGACTTGTACTCACCACGTGACAGTGACTGACAGTAGCAGCAGACGTGGTTTTGTGGTGATTGTTTACGCTGTACGTTTTGTTACAAAATGTCATTAGAAGAGAAACTGATTGTGCTAGTACAGGAGTACCCTGCTAATACAGAAGTTCCATAAATTTCTCAAAACTCATCTGGAAATAATGAAAAACTTTGGTTGTCCTAAATTAAACGTGGGAACAAGGTATGAAATTCTCCCTAATTTATTCTACTCAAGTTTATACTCTGCACCCACAACCTCTTCTGTCGCCGACGCTCCTCCTCTTCCAAATTTTGTTAAAACTAACTAATTTTTTGTTGGTTAAACACTTCTTCAACTCACAGTACCGCTGACCTCGCATAGACTGATCGCCGGAACTGGAACGCCTGATGCAGTGTGTGACGAGCCTTAAGGTATACTTTTTATTTTCTACTTTACATTTTAAATTGGGTATTTCAGCCCAAATGGCACTATGATCAGAAAGGCCTATGTCATCTACAAAAATATTTGTCAATGTGAGTTTTTTATTTGTTATAATATTATCGATGCAAGTATTGCTAATGGGTCTAGTCACCTCTTTGATATTTATTTCGAACCCATTGAAGTTTATTATATTTAAAAATTCCTTACACTCTGCACTATCTAAAACATTAACATTACAGTCTGTTGCAAACAATTTACCTTTTTCCTAGATTTAAACATTCTAAACGTAGACTGAAGCTTTAAGAAAGGTTCCTAGGGTAAACTTATATGGCACCCTGTAAAGGGGTATAATTATAATAGGCTCTGAAAAATGAAATATTTCCACCACTGAGCACTAAAAATAAAAATCTGCATTTAAAACTTTTAGATCATCTCATACTTTCCAATTTATTCCTGAGCCTTCTTTTCATAAAATTTAAAAAAATAAGTAACAAATAAAAATTCTAACAGTTTAGACGTTAGAAAAATAATCGTCTTCCCAGTGTACTATAATATTTTGTGATGCTTGCCGTTAATAGGAAGACAAGATCACCAGTATTTCACTCACTAGTTATAAGAGTTCAAATGACTTCAAAATAATAGGATATTCTCAGTAACCTATTATCACTACCACGGTAATAGATACACATTTTGGGCGTGGTGACACTTCATTAATAGTATTATTTTTCCTATTCCGTTAAATAACGCACACCTCTACATTGTATGTTCGTTTTATAGGAGCCATATAATTTTACTATCAACAGTTTTGAAGGTTTCTCTTCAAAAGATAGAATTATATAAATAATTCAGAATTTATAATTATATATAAATAAATATCCTCTTAATGATAGTTTTTACTCACACATAGTTTTTTCAGTATAACAAATGTATTTTTAACGTCTAAGTAAATATATTTGCTTTTAAGATTGAAATGTTGTTACAAATAGTAATTGTTTGAGCAATGGTGAAAAAATACAACAAATATCAATAAATACTTTATTATACAATATGGCAATATAATCTTCATTGAAATACAATATTACAATTTACAATTAATGGTTTTTTTTGTAGAAGATATAAATAAGCTGCACATTCATCCCTAACAAACAAGTCTTCTACATACTTCTTGTGTTTTATTCTTTTTCAGCAGACTTGACTTGCCGTTCCAATAAAATTATAACTATAAATTTTGATACTTAAGTTCAATTTACACATAAAAGATGGCATAGGTCACAACCAACAGAATTTATGGTCCTGCAACATACGTAAAAGTCCCTGTAATAAACTGTATAGACATTTAATCATTGACTATATAGTTTAACTGTGGTGAAGAATAGAAAAATAAATCTATCAGAATTTACTTTCTCAACTAAATTTGTATGATCCTGCAACTAGCTGATATTGTTACAAGTATTTTTGCTACATTTTATAGGTCTTAAGGCCCATCAGTCATGAGATTTTAGTAAAGTCCATCGTATAGAAACTAACCTATTATTATATAAAAATAATTTTAAACTTAAAATTGAAACCTAATGTTTTTTTTACTGATGAACAAGTATTATAATATTATTAACAAAAAATTATATTTATTTTAACTTAAAACAAATTTTTCAGAACTAACATTTTGAGTCAATAACTAAGCCAACTAAATTGAATAAAATGCTACACAATTGGCAAACTATTTTTAAAAAGGAAGACACAAATTGTATAATGATCCTATAACAAAGGGAATAATGTACTACACATTTGAATTAATTTCAAAAGTCCATTGCATGGACAAGGCATATAAAAAAATTGATCTACACAATAACCAAATGGTCCTATTCACAATTTTAACTATCAAAACCACATCAAGGAAAAGGTTTACTTGTATCACATAGTTCATGGTGGTAAGAGCTATATTTTGTAGGTCTTGAGGCACACCGCCCATGATATTTTTTTTACAAAGTTTGTTATTTCACAACTTTACATGAAGTACAAGTCAATTTTGTATTCCTACAACATGTAAATCAACTCCTCCTAGGGCAGGCCACATTCCCTATGCCCCATTTCATATTCACCGAGCATTACAGGTTTATAGGAGATAGTTGTGGTCACTGGAAACATGCTTATTCTCATGCAGGTTGCGACCCTCCTGAAGGTGCTAAGTACATTTTTCCTATTTCTGTAAATTTATGCATTTTACAGATAAACAGTTTGACTTACTGATTTGGATTTTGACTTTGGTACAGTTGTAAAAAAGCTGAAGAAAATGTGGAAAGTTAGGGAGCAATTTAAAGTTCCTAAAGATTTTGCCAAATGCAGATTTCCTAAAGGATTGGAAATACATGGTTTATACTTTATTGTCGCTTTGTACTACATGGTGAATGTGGATTGGAGCATAGTAAGACTTCTAGTTCTGACCCTTGTTACAAAATTATTGTTAAAGATAAGATCTTTAGACAGATAATCTTTGAAGAGCTTTGTTTTTACTACAGTAGTCTCTATCTTATACAACCACCTTTCAGTCAAACATTGCTTAGACGATTTTTTGTTGTCAAAACATTGTTATCCTTTTAATCGGCCACGTAAAACATTTTTTTTACTGATCGAGATCAGCCGGACGTGAATGTTGAGTTGTTTTTCTATAATAAACTAAGCTCTATTACTACAGTGTACAAATATGCTTTTGATTTTGATCCCAAAACCGTACCATAATGTGTTCTACATCACATCGGTCTATCCGGCCAAACGACTATCAGTTAAGCCTTCACTCGCAAACTGACCTAATAAGATAGAGGCTATTGCAGATGGAAAACATAGCCTATATAAACAAAATATCAGACTTACCTTCAGTGCTGTTTTCAACATCAACTTTTTGCTTAGCTTTGGCCAGCTTTTCACACAGCTCAATTGACTTGTTTGGATTGTACTGGAAAGTTCAACATATTAAGTTAATTTATAATAAACCACCAATAGTTAAACTTAACACATTCGATGCGGCGGGTCCACCGGTGGACCCCGCGCGTCTCAGCTGAGGAGCGGGGGATCCACCGGTGGGGTAGCGCGCATTGCATTGTTTGCCGGATCAGTGTGGTTCAGCCATTGTCGGGGGAACGTTGTAGTCTTTACCAGCCTGTAGCTTATAATGCGAGCTTTATTCTGGTGTAGGTTGGTACAAAGATTTCCCGTAAAATCCCGTCTGGCAATGCTTTTGTCCCGTTTTCGGGGATTTTCTCTGTTCGAGCCGTATTACAAAGACTCTGGTTATTGATCCAGGCAGTGCTGCTACCTTTGGGTGTTTCAGTGAACTACGTCCACTTTCGGAGTAACGCAGAACAATCACCACTGCTCTTTTGTGATTCGTCTTACTGAGATATTTCAATACCAATAGCGATCGCTGATTCAGTTAGCGCGTCGGGGCTCCGCCCGGGCCTCGCCGCAATTGGCGAGCGCCTGTTTAAAGGTTTTCAGCAGCGAATGTGTTAAACAACAATGTATCTTAATAAAGTAAGTTGCTCAATTTGAAGCTATTTGAAGCTGAAAAATAGCAGCGCTACTTCTGGTGATCATTATTATGTGATAGAATTATATCTACTTATCTGTTAAAGTTAACACCACCATACCTTTATTTAAAAAAAAAATAAAAAAAAATAAATAAAAAACTGCTAAGCATAAATGGCATGTATTATAGAGGATGCTTCAATCGCACTCACAGTATACTAAATGAAAAAAATTCATGAGAATGTTTAAGGATAATTAATGAAGAGGCCAATGCCTTCTTAGGTGTAAATGTTCATAGGTGTAACTAGGAGAAAGTATTAGTGAAAAATATAAAGGAGTAAGTCTAAAGGAGTAAGTGTAAAGGAGTAAGGAGTAAGTTGTCACTCAGGTGTAGTATAGACCACGTCTAATAATTGACAAAAGAACTGGACAATTCTGCAGCTATCTCATATTTTCCCCATGTCTAGCTCCCCTTCTTAGTAATTGCCGTTACTGACTCTCCTGCCAAGATTAGATTGTGAAGCATTATTCATTTTCTGCAAGTACGCGGGAATTGTGTAGCAGAAGTTCATCAGAGAGTGTTTTTAGTTTATGGATAATGCTTTATAAATAATGGTGTTCTGCAAGGATGGTACTAAAAGTTTAAGAATAGTTATATCTGAATCTCATTATGAAGGAGATTAAGAATACAAATTCCTCACTCTTATAGTCAGCTTTCAACATCTAAGGGCCAAAAGAGTATGTCTCAATCTTCAGTGACAGAGTAGACAACAGGTCTTGAAACCTCCAAAAATTCTATAGAAAAAGCAGTTAATGTTAACCTATGCAGTTTTCTCTAACTATTCTCGATTAACAAGATTGTCTGCTTCTTGAGTAAATTCTTCCAGCAATCCCTTTATTCTTGCAGAAAATGAATAAGTCTTCTCAGTTCACTCTTGGCAAGTGAATCCAGGATGGCGGCCATTTTTAAGTGACTGTAGAACTACAAAGGCTAATCGCTTGATGGCAGTGTTTTTTGTCCCTCACCTGTAGCTTTTCATTTTTTCTAATGAATGAATAGTGTTCTGTTACCTCAGTGACAGTCCGAGAAAGGATCAGCTGGGAGTAAAGTCTGTTTCCTTCCTGTTGACCACAGAACTTCTGAAGCTCACTCTTGTTTAAGTTAAACATATTTTCCCCACTCAGTCCTTTCAGGTAGGATCTCGTTCTGAAAAATAATAACGTTTTTGGATCAGAATAAAACTAGTGACAGGCTTTTGTTTATTGTACGTGTACTTATTGGCCCTAGATAATTTAAATACCATATAGAGGTTAAAATTACCTGAATACACAGTTTTTCACCCAAATTCAGAAAAATTCCCCAATAATACTTTCAAAGAAATAGTCCTGTAAAAATATCAGGAAAAAATTGCCTTTTGGGGACTTTGGTAACAAGTAGGCCTACCTTATAAATTTTGAAAAAATTATCCTTTGTTTTGTACAAAATGCTGCGACCCTCTTTTGAATGTTGTCCTAGGCACTCCAAAACCACTCATTTGTAAAGATTTGGGTTTACTTGACTTTTTCAGTTTTCAGTATTAATATTCCTAGATTACTCAAATGAATGCTAAAGGAAGGTAGGCCAATAGCTATCACATGTGTTCAAATATGTCAATTTGTTTGAAAAATTGTCTTGTCAAATAATTTAAACTTTTAAAGATCCCATCCATACTAGACACTCAAATGTAAGATCCATTTATTTCTGTTTGAACACAAAAGTTCCCTAATTTATGGAAATTTGACCTTCCGTCTGTTTTTACCACGCTACAACTAGCTGACATATGAGCTTCATCGACCAGGAAATTCCAATGGAAGACAAGTTTAGCCGCTTGCAGAGCATCCTGGGCAGTGTAACCACCTGTGCGAGTCTGTTGAAAAGTTTCGGCATCACGCATTTCCCGAGATGGTTTAGTAGGGAACTCAAAAACCTCATCATACAGAAGAAGATTGCTCACAGGCGTTACAAAAGCAGCCTTATTTAGCCCACTACTATGAGTTTGCCAAGTTGAGAGCTGCCTGCAGATCTCTGTCGCGAGAATGCTACAAGCTCTATATGGCTAATTTAGAAGCAAACATATCCTCGAACTTTTTGGAGGAGTCGTCAAAGCGAGAGAAAAACATCTGATATACATTCCCATATTTATCTTGATGGAATCGAAGCCAAGGATCCCAAAGAGAAATATAATATTTTTGCCACTTTCTTCAGTTCCCCGTCTTCATGCTCCTCCAGTACTCATAACTATTCAGTCTTGAACACCATCAGAACTGTAAGATTTAGCAAAGAGGAGATCAACCTGAAGTTGGAGCGCTTGGATATCAAGAAGGGAGCTGGTGATGACAACATCCGCCCTTCAGTTCTTCATTACTGCCGTACCCTTCTTGCTGGGTGTTTTCTAATGGTATCAGTGTAAATATTTACAGAGAATATGTCAGATCTCTTAATATTATTCCACTTTATTTTAAAGAAGGGAACATGAACAACAAACACTACATTCTGATTCATACTTGCACTTTCCATATACTAGAATGTTAAGCTATGTGAATGTAATAGAAATAAATATAAGTCTTCCAAAGAACACCACAGATTGATAAACATATTGTATGAGATAAAACAAGTTTGCATTTTTAGAATATGTATACCAAACAATCCAATACAAAAGGTTTAAATTTTCAAGAAGTTGTTACAGGTATTCCTTTTTTAAGGAAATTTTCACCTCCTAAAACTTGAATTTGTATTCCTAAGCAGAGGAGATGTTTTAATACAAGGCTTACCTTACAAACTGAAAAAAACCTGGAATCATTTGTGGTAATTTTGTACTTTTTACCATATTGTTAAATAAGAAACTAGATACTCACTGCTCATTGAATCCCTTTTGTTTAAGCCAATTCTCAACCTCCTCATGACTGGACTGAGAACTGATGTAGACAACAGGGGTTCGTTTGATGGAAGGTGATTTTTTCTGGAACACTGTCAGTCGATCCCTCAACTCCATCGCTAGCAAGTCTTGATCTGTTGGGTCTTGTACTGATCAGATAGGACACAAACATTAATCAGACACATATGTTCTTTACTGTGTACTTGTTATATTTTCTTATTTCTTTGTGTGTTGAAGTTCTCCTCTTTGTTTCTATTTTCGTGATCAATAAATTAGCTCATCTTCCAAGAAAAGAGAAAAGTTTTGTGATGAGCCCACTAGAGCTGTTTGACGACTGTGGTCTTCTGCGAACTTAGAACGAGTAAGATCTTTGAGAGGCGTTGCTTGTGTCGAGTCACATTTATTAATACGAGTAAGGTTATTTGGTTATTGGTTGTTGTTGCGATTGTTATAGTGGGTTGGGTGGGTTTGGTAAGTTGGTAAGGTAATGGGTTGTGAGCCTTGGCCCTTAGGTAAAGTAGGGTTGAAGAACTGCTAAAGCATTTATGAGGTTTGAGCACAGTCGAGGTACTTTGGGTTGAGGTGGCTGAGGAAGTAGCTGTGGGTGGTACTGAATGTGTAAATAAATTTTGCAGAGTAGGCGCCTCAGTTGTACAGGAGTAAGACGGTTTGTTATCATGTCTGGTTTGGTTTTTAAACATTGATTTGAATGAAACCTTCTTGGTGTGCATATCCTGTTTTCCAGGACTTAGTAAAAAAAACTTAAAGATAACCATATATAGATAACCTAATATGTATAAATTCTGTAACTTAGTAAAAATGGCTAAATTCTGACATAACAACTTACATAAGCTGTAACCTGTAAAGAAATCTATTATCAGCAGCCTGTTTTATTAAGGGTATGTTATTAGGGTATGTTTGGTAACTACAACTTGCCTAGAAAGCAAAAATAGTGGGTTCAACTCCCATCCCACTTATTTGGTTTTTATGTGCAACTCATTATTACATTTATCTAGATAATTTATTTTTACCATAACAGAATTATTTTTATATTTTGATGAGTAGCCTATAGTTTTGTGCCTAAAGTATGGGCTAAACTAAAAATAAATTCAAGACCGATGAAAGGGTCTTTGCTGAAGTCAAAGGCTATCCCTATTGGCCAGCTACGATTACTAATATAGATTCATCAAAATATCTTAAGAAATACAATGTAAAATTTTATGGTACAAATGAAATTGGTGTGGTCAAGGAAATTGATATTTGTTCATTTTAGGAAAACAAATTCCGCTATGGAATTATCAATGAGAAAAATTCTAAATTTAATTTAGCAGTGAGAGAAGCAGAAAAGAAAGGGTCTTTGCTGAAGTCAAAGGCTATCCCTATTGGCCAGCTACGATTACTGATATAGATTCATCAAAAAATCTTAGGAAATACAATGTAAAATTTTATGGTACAAATGAAATTGGTGTAGTCAAGGAAATTGATATTTGTTCATTTTAGGAAAACAAATTCCGCTATGGAATTATCAATGAGAAAAATTCTAAATTTAATTTAGCAGTGAGAGAAGCAGAAAAGAAAGGGTCTTTGCTGAAGTCAAAGGCTATCCCTATTGGCCAGCTACGATTACTGATATAGATTCATCAAAAAATCTTAGGAAATACAATGTAAAATTTTATGGTACAAATGAAATTGGTGTAGTCAAGGAAATTGATATTTGTTCATTTTAGGAAAACAAGTTCCGCTATGGAATTATCAATGAGAAAAATTATTAATTTAATTTAGCAGTGAAAGAAGCAGAAAAGAGTTTTGAAACAAGTTTCATTAAAAAAAAAAAATACTAGTGGCTTGTTGGTTACAAATATTTTTACAGATGTTATTGATAGTTAGTAACTTTGAGGTATCGCATATGAGTACTCCTGTAAATAATGTAAGTCGCTGAAAATGTCAAGCTCAGTAGGAAGTTACAACTTGCTTCAGAGCAATGTAAACAATGAAGTTGAAGTTATGCAAAGTGATAAGCAACAGCTGTTCACACCACCTGATAGAACAAAAACTACCCTAGAGATATTGGGTAATCAGTGGCTAACAGATGAATCTATTAATTTTTACTATCAGTTACTATCTGAAACAGTTATCAATAAATCACAGATATTATTAATGAATCCAATTGTTGCACAAGCCGTTAAATGTGTCAATGATGTTGATCATATACTTAAAACAGCAGACTTAAAGAATAAAACACATGTTTGTATCCCAGTAAACGACTCACCAGCAGGATAGACCAGGGGGCTCTGGCTCACATTGGAGCCTACTCCTGTACGTCACAAGAAGTAAAGAGTTTTATTATTTTTATGCCTTTGGGCAGACTAATTATTTTGAACATGCAATGAAGATATGTTTAGCACTGCAGAAACACCTCCACGATGACACAGAGTGTAAAATAAAATCTGTTAAAAGTCCCACAGCAGATCAACAATCATGAATGTGGTATCTACTTGCTTATTTTCACTGATATTATCATTCAGGATAGGTATTCAAAAAGAAGATTGGTTAACTGATCCCTTTCAGGATATATTCCCTCCCATATTATTGAGTGATATAATTCTATAAAGGGCTCAATTAGCAATGCTGTATTTCAACACAATATTTAGTCTTAGTGTAAGCCTTGTGAGTGAGATAATGGTAAAAGTAAAAAATTCAGAAGATGAAATATCACAGCTCAGTGTTATTACTCAAGATCCTGGACCTTCATGGACAGTAAAGGAGTCAAGACGAAAAACTCAACATTCATCTCAAATTATTAAAGTAAACAGTAATAGAATTCTGACTTCTAATCAGTTTCAAGTTTCAAGTTTTGGATGAACTGGCTGCACCCAACTCCATTGAACAATCTACATTAGACAGCAAGAAAATGTCAAAAAACAAAACAAAAATTCAAGTAAAAAAAGGAAAAAATTCTCAACAAACATAGTCATAGCCAGAGTTATTCCTGTTCTCAAAAAGGGAGATCCAGAATACATTAGATGCTATAGACCAATATCATTGCTTCCAGTATTCTCTAAAATCTTAGAAAAAGTTGTGTTTATTCAGTTTTCAAATTATCTGGAAACAAATAATCTTCTTGACAAACAACAACATTGTTTCAAATTTAAAAAGTCTACTATAACAGCTGGTATCGAGTTTGTAGAGTCGATCATTGATTCTATTGAACGGGGGGAGAAGGTAATTGGAGTTTTTCTAGATCTGACAAGAGCTTTTGATAGTGTAGAGCATTCTAAACTATTAGATATGCTCTGCTCACTCGGAGTAAAAAACACAGAATTAGCATGGTTTAAATCATATCTTACCGGCAGAAAACAATTTGTGGAAATTAATATCTATCGTGAAACTTTAAAGATTAAGTATAAAGAAACTTGTACCTCTCACCCATTAACAGTGCAATATGGAGTCCCTCAGGGATCGATTTTAGGTCCCTTAATGTTCCTTTGTTACCTGAAGGGTCTACCAGAAGTCACTTGGGGCAGAGATACAAAAATAATATGTCTTTATGCAAATGACACAAATGTGGTTGTCTCTGCTGACACTGAAAATAATATTGAAATATCATCCCATATTGGCTTATCATTAATTAAAGACTTTTTAGATAGCAAGAATCTCCTTCTAAATTCAGAAAAATCCAATTTTGTATCATTTTCAACAAAACAAACTAGGAACAAAATAAAGCCTACAATATTTGTTGATAATCATGTATTGACCCAATTAGACCACTCAAAATTTTTAAGTTTAATCATAGATGAAAATCTGGCATGGGATAATCATATTAACAATCTTATTAGAATAACATCCGGTAGCCTTTACGCATTGAGAAGAATTGCTACATCATGTAATATTGAAACGTTAAAAGCAGTCTATTATGCAATTCATTCACATGTTGCCTATGGCGTCTGTGTCTATGGATCTACCACAAAAAAAAAAAAAAAAAAAAAAAAAAAAACATGGACAGAGTTTTGCTCCAGCAAAAAAAGGGCATTGAGGATAATGTTGAATTTAAGATCAACGACCTCGGTAAGGCAAGTCTTTTGTATACATAAAATATTCACAGTCTACAGTCTTTTCATTTATGAGTCAATTAAATTTGTTTTGATGAATGATAAAATTGCAATAGGTTAGGTTCATAAATATAACACAAGATCACACCGATTGGTAGAGCAGCACAATTTGGAATTTTGTAAGACAAAAACTAGTTATTTAGGAAACAAATTTTTACATCACCTTCCAGAAACTTTAAAATTGGAGAAAAATCCAAATAAATTTTTAAAATCATTAAACAGATTTTTAATTGAATCAGCATTTTACTCCATTCAAGATTTTTTTTGTAATTGAAAATCACTAAAAAACTAAAACATTTAAGTATCTCCATTGATTTGTTCTATGTTTGTTTTCGGTTACTTTAATTTGCATTTGATCTATTAATCAGCTGGACTTATTATTATTTAAAGAAAGGAAAATCAATTTGAAGGTCATTAATTGTTATATATATTCTGTTTTGACTATTGTAAAATCCCTAGTTTTAGCGATCTAGATAAGAAAACTTATGTTGACACAATTTCATGTACCAATCTGTGCATTTTATGAAATAAAGAAGTTGATTGATTGAATGATTGATTTATTGATATTCTCTCCTGAATCAAACCATGAAGTTATAGGTGAGCAGGAGAAGGTAGCTAAGTGGTTTAATAACCATACCCCCTCTATAGCAGTGGTAAAAGCACATATGGCCGAGGTCATCACACGTTATCGGTATAATAAATCTGTGGGCTTTGCTCATAGTATTTCATTTCTACAGACTTGCATGACTCAGGCAACATGACGGCTGGAGTAGCTGTTGTGTTCAGAACTTGTTTTGGGAGACCTAAAACATCCCAGTGTCTTACCCCTCACTTAGCTTTGCAAAGTAACCACATTGGTGCAGCTGTATACAGCCTCATCACCAAGGCACAGTATTTTGGTAAACCGTACAAGAATGACTACGATACCACGTTTCGAGATCTGACAATAAGTTTTAAGAGGAAGAAGCTGAAACATCTTATTTGCTCTCCTGCCGAATGCATTCATGATAAAATAGACCTAGACCATTCACAGATAATATAATTATGATTTTAAGATTACCAAAGCTAAGGTTACTTTTGTGTCACACTGCTACAGTTCTTCCCAAATACTAAAGAATGGGATGTCACATGAAGATTTCATAGCTAGGATAAGCGACCTTCTCCATCAAAAGCTAAATCAGTCTGCAGCCCCACGATCACAACTAGACTCCGTAGCTATGGATCTATCTTTGGCAACTGTCCCAAGTCCAACTCCTAAGAATATAGACCACACAACTCCAGCTACCACTGCAGCATCAGGAACAGATGGCCAACGTTCAGACCTGATGAAAAGCCAGTGTGAAGAAGTTTCTGTGGTGCCCGGTGACCTCACATATAGTGGGGCGCTAAAGCAGAGTTGTTATGTTAGTGCCGTGAGTGTTGGATTAAATGTAGGCCTACAAAATAGCTTTAGTTTCACTTAGTCACCTAAATCAAATTTAAACTCAAGGGTCCAAAAGACTCCTCCAATAAAATAACAGCCCAGCAAAATGTAACTATAATTTTCCGGGAGAATATACAGCATCTAGCTAGCCTCAAGAATAAACTTTCTTCAGGCATTTTTAAATTAAATAGAACCTCACGTAGTAAATTAATGAGAACATGATATGAAAGACAAGGAAATTGAAAGATTAAATATTGATTATTATAAACCAAAATCTAATTTTTCAAGGGGGAAAATCCAAGGGAGGGTTCATTAATCTAGCAAAAGAGGGTTTAAGTTGCAAAAGGCGACTGTGCCAGATTTTTTATCTAATTCATTGCTGGAAGAAATTCAGTTTGAATTTTGTGCTTGCACTTGGAAGGTTAATAAACAAAAATTTATCATCATAGGTCTTTACAGATCACATAATTCTGATGCAGCTATTTATACAGATAGATAAGGCGTTTTACTTGATTACTTCAGCAATAAATGTGATAAATTAATTGTTGCTGGTGATTTAAATATTGATGTGTTGAAAAATGACAGTAAACATAGATTATTAAAGGAAACACTTAAAAGACATAATATGAGGTACCTCGTTGATTTCCCAACCAGAGTAACGGAAAGTTCAAAAACATGTATTGATAACTTTTTAGTAAAAAATCTAAAAACCTCCAGTATGAAGGTAGAACGTCTGATAACTTTTCTGTCTGATCATGATGGGCAATTATTAAAACTAAAGTTGAATCACTCTATAAAAAACATCAATCAATCCATCAAACAAGAAATGCGCAAAATTTTCTCCTGAAAATATAACTCTTTAATCAAACTTACTTTCAAAGGAAACATGGACTGATGTTTACAATGCTAATGTTGAATCAAAATATGATGCATTTTACAACATACTAAATTATTATTTTAATCTAGCTTTCCCTAAATTGTTAATCACAAAAAAGAAAAGAAAATGTACCTGAGTAACTTTAGAATTGGAAGATAAACGTAGGTACATCATATATTTATCAAAAGAATACCGTAGGAAAAAAACAAAAATTAAAGATTACTTTTGGAACATGAAAAGAAAAAATATATACGTGAGCTTCGTCAAGCTAAAAATAAATATTTCAACCAAAAATTTCTAAAGCTACTAATATTCAAAAAACAGTTTGGAATATTATAAACTGTGAAGTTGGGGAAAACAAGAGGAAGACTTTCAATAACATAATTCTAAAAGATGATTTTGGAATTTTTTCAGATCCTAACGAAATTGCTGAAATATTTAATTGCCATTTTGTCAACACTGTTAGAGAATTAAGGAGTAGGGACAGCCCTGTTAATGTAAATTTTAATGCTGGTGTTTGTGATACAAATAGTATGTGTATAAAACCAAAATTAGAACTTAATCTAATTGATCAAAGGGAGATGGAAAAAATTGTAAATTCTTTGAAAAATAAATACTCTAGTGGTTATGATGAAATCTTTTAACTTTCAACCTAATTTTGTTTTACATTACAATTTAATTACTTTAAAGTAACTGAATATTCAATTAAGAAAAATGCCATAGTGTTTTAGTTCCCTCTTTATAAATGGCATAATAAAGTTGACCATCTTTTTTAAAAGTTATTGAATTAAATTAAATATTTCAACAACAAAATTTGCAAAATATGAAATAAACATTATTTTTTCCAATCAGATCTATAATTATTATTGTCACAGATTTTACAAACAAAAAAAAACTCACTTGTTGTAGAGCCCCGGTTGGATTGAAACACATCATCTTCTAAGCTTGTTGAGTCTGAAATACAGTAAATATTCATCTTAGTGTCAGTAGTGTTATCGTAAAATTACCAGCGCGGGAATGCTCGCCATCGTCTTAAAACTGACTAACATTATAGGATTAGTTTTTAAGACTATGTATTGGAAAAAAGCAGAGTGGGACCGTTGTTCCCATGCGTTTTCGCTCCCCTACACTACTGCTTAGACTATAGCAAGGGAATTTCATTTAAAATTATTGTATATTCTCTAACAGTTTTAAAATTGCTTACAAGCATTGCTTAGTAACGCTTTTTAGCTATGATTAGATTAGAAATATGGCGACCAGTAAAACAAGGCCACATTAACTGTATATAGTAGTTTTTAGACCATCAGCTTAAGGTCTGAAAATTTCCTTTGATATGATAAATCATATGACAGCTGCTTCAGAAAATATCCCTGGATGAAATAGTGAGAGGCAACAGGTAATCCTCTAACTTATCAAGCTAAATATGCAGTTTGACATTTGATGTCTTGTATCTTGAAGATACAAATGAACACTAACCAATTGATTTACTTTTACTTTGACCAAATATGTATTGTAAAATAAAGAGGCCTGTATTTCCACTAAAGATTACTAAATTAAAAATTATGTTAAATTAAAAACCTATTGTATGTACCGGCCAAGGACTTACATTTTTTTTTATTTGTAGTAAAAATTTAATGTAATTTTAATACATTGTTTGTGATGGACATACAGGGTGTATATAAAGTCCCACACCGGCTTAATATTTTCTAAACGACAACAGATAAATCAATAAGATTTGGTACATCAACACCACATCTAAAAATCTACTTTTTTACGGTACTATCAATTTTCTATCATATAGAATATTTTCTATCATGAAGCAAGGAGTCAGAAGGAAATCTTAAATAGCTGCATTGATATGTACATCAAATTAAAGACCTTTACTAGCAGAATATGATGTCGCAAATTTGAACTCAAACAGATAACTGAGTAAAAAATGGCGGCCGTTCAAAGATTTCTTGAATCTGCCTTTTTGAATCTTTGAACGACTGCCATTTTTTACTCATTCATTCTTTTGAGCTTGAATTCCCGGCATTATAATCTACTAATGACGACCTTTAATTTGATGTCCATATCGACCTATGCTTAAGTATTTATTAAATATATCTTTGGCTAGCTTTATTTTTAAGAGTTTCCTAGAATAATGTTTAATTTTTAAATACAACTGGGTATATCACAACAGTTTTTACTCTTCTTTTTGAATAAACACTACAGTTTACCCTTAAAACCCATTCATAACAAATCAATTGTAAATCATCAACTGTATACCATTAAAATGTGACGAATTTCAAATACATTTTCAAACTTTAATAAACCTTGGCATGTGTTTCAATGGTTCTTGAAATGGTCATGCATACTCAAAATTGTGCAAGATTGTGCAAAAAAAACATAACTCAAAGTGGTAAACTGAAATAAAAACCCAAACTCAAAAATTCCATGTGCCAAAAATCAACTCAAAGTAAGATAACTGATATAAAAAATATGGTATCAATAATACCATGTGTACAGAATTGGATAAACAAGTGTTTGAGTTACAGTATGCAGTATAGAGTTATCTTGAAGTTTTTAATAGTAGTTCTAGTGAGTGAAGAGTTAGTTTTTCCTTCTAAACAATTCACAGGATTTCACAAAGTCTCACATCATTCATAGAATTGTATTTTACCAATAAAGAATCAAACTAAACCAATAGTGCTACAAAAATAGTAATAATAGTCACTTCAATCAATTTTAACAATAATGTTGAATTGTACATAGAAATCAACAGAGTCAGATCAAATTATCAATTAACTTCTTAAACTTTTTAGAGGGTTTAGAGAAAAAATGTCTTCAAATGTGTTTGGGCTTAATTTTTTTATACAAAAATTAGTTTGGTTAGATGTTAAGTGGCATTGGGGGAACGTATTATTTCAAACTCATTTTAATACAACAGTTTTGAAGATTTCAATACTAGCCAAACTGAACATTGTTCAATTCAATTTATTTTTAAATATATAAATACGGTAGTAAAACAAGCTTTACAGTTATTAAAAAAATTATTTATTAGCTTTGGTGAATACAAAACATGCTGCAAGATTTCTCACAGTATTTAATCTTTTTAATTTCTCTTTAGTAATTATACACACAGGAAGGATTTTATTTAGTTCAAAAAGTATATGTGATTAGTAAGCTATTCACCCATCGCTCTTAAGACTAAAACAGTTATTATTAATCTCTTACAAATAAGTAATTAAACTTACCATCTTTTCCAAAAGCAGAATCGATGACAAACTGGAAGCAATGGAACAAAGACAAAAGCAATACATAAACATGTAATATCTCTGACAGTAACTACTTAAGCAAACATATAGACGAAGACAGTCACCATCAAGGATCAAGAATTGCAACGTCTTTTAATAAATTTGTTTATGTATACATAGATTGTATTTCACTGGAAACATTAAAAGTACAAATTAATAAATATAAATTGGTTCCTTTGAAATGTAAATGTAACATTATACTAATGATTTTTTTTCACAAGCCAAATGGTATAAAAATGTTGATGCAGAAGTTTCCCATTGTTACTATAGTTTAGTACTTTTTCAATATTTCAGTTGGATCTTGACTGCCTTTGATGGAATTAAAAGTTGCTTCAAAACGTCTTTAGAATGTACATGCATAAAATTATCAAATCATTACTTTAAAATATTGATATCTATATCATATAAATCTAGGTAATGTTTTATAACAAAAATAATGAAATTGCATTGAACTACAGTTTTAGTTTTTTAACAAAATAGGCCTATTTGTAAATTAATTAATGTTTTGAAATTATTAAAAATTTTATATCACTGACTAAACCTGAAGTAAAAAAATCAGAACTTAACCTTACTTTAGGAATATCCAGAAAATGATAGGACATAAGACAAGTAGTAATTTAAATTACCAAGCACTTCATCAACTTTTTTTACGTCATGCCTTATCATTCATTCCTCTATCGGGTCTGATGATGATTGGACTAATAATTCACTGTTGCCAGACATTTCACAATTACTGTGAAGTGGCATCCTCAGTGGATAGGCTGCTGATGACACTTCACAGTAATGTCAAAACGTCAGGCAACAGTGAATTATTAGTCCAGTCATCATCAGACCTGATAGGGCATAATGGAAAAGTTGAAAAGTTGACTAAGTAAGTTAGGAGTGACTACACGATTGACGCTGAATAACACCACCATTAACTCTCATGACACCAGCCGTGAAAGCCTACTTAAGAAGATGATTGGAATGTCCAATCAAAATCGATCACCACTTACCATCTTTGATATATATTTACAGCCTTGCAGGCAGGTCAACAGTATAGGCTGGATTAGTGTAAACATCAAGTGTTAATACTTAATAGACAATTTGTATTTACTTTAATAACATGTATGAGGCTGATGAATAAGTTATTTAGTTTTTTATGACAATCTTTTAGCAACACTCTCTATATGATAGTATAAATGCAGATTCATACAAATTATTGAATTGCTGAAAAGGTTGGATAACAGGATACCAATACACCAGGTACCCAATCTTACCAAGCTTGGGCTCCATTATTGCTTTTATTATTAACAACTTAGTACATTTTATCATCAAATTATTACACCCTGTTGCAACAAACCAGACTAGTCAAACTTACAGATTCTTTTTTTTATGTAAATCCAGACAGATCCGTAATAAAGGGAAATTCATACTTAAACCAACACACAGAATGGATAGCTTTGGCTCATTGAGTGCTCAACAAATAAGGACTATGATAAAACCAGATAAACAAAACCATTATTAAAAAAAAATATGGTCAACATTTCCTACAGTTTAAGAGGATGTATCCATGGATAGAGAAACAATCTATAGCAATTTATATATTCTCTACAAGACTAATATGAAAGATGATGTTCATTGTTTAGCTTTAGTAATAGTTAGGCAAGAAATAGGTGTATACAAATTTTTCATTCTAAATATACAGAGGGATGAAAAAGTAGGTATACAGTAAATATACATTTTATAGAAAAAATATATTCATTCATACAAAACCCAAACTTTTCCAATTTATTTTAAGAGTATTAACCTAAAAAACACCTAAAAAATGTCTTAAAAATGTTGTACTTGACAAAAACACTTACTTCCTTGTGTGTTCAAACTGTTTGCCTGTTTGTACTGTATACCTTATATGTATACCTACTTTTTCACCCCTCTGTATTGTGTTTATAGGTTTATTTATTAAAACAATTGGACAGACAAGCTAAAGAAACTTTAGCTTTAGTTTAACAGTTTGCGAGAACTGATTTTAGAGAAGGGGGCGTTTTAATACTGGTATCAACAAATATTGATTTCAAAAATTTATCATTAAATTCTTTAAGAGCACTTAGTCAAGATAAAATATTTGAATCTTGTGTAACTGAAATTAAAATTGGGAAAGAAAAGTTTTTAGCTATGGGTCTTTACAGAACCCCATCTGAAAATGCTGAAATATATCTAGACAAATTAAATGAACTGTTGCGAATTTTAAATAAAATTAACCGTAACATTCTACTGGGGGGGGGGCGATTTTAATATTGATGTTTTGAAGGAAGGCAAAAAGAAAAAAAAAGTTTGAGAATATAATACAAATGCGTGATTTTCAATATACTATTAAAATACCAACTAGAGTTACTGAATGTAATGAATCAGCTATTGATAATTTTATCACCAACATAGATGACAAATGTTTTAAAAGTAGAAAGTTTAATCACAGCTTTGTCAGACCATGATGGACAACTCTTCAAAATTTTTAATTAAAAAAAAACAATATAAATTCTAAAATACATAAATTTGAAAGAAGATTTAACCCAGAAACAATTAAACTCTTCATTCATGATCCCTCCAAGGAGGATTGGACAAAGCTTTATAACTGTAATGTTGAAGACAAACTTACTTACTTCTATAACACGCTTAAAT